GAAAAGGAATTGCTGTCTTAATATTTGTGCAAATTATTATACATTTATAATCCAACTTGTTTTGCTTTTCCCCTCCAGTGCTGGTACACTACCTGTCACCTTCCGTTGTCTGGAAGAGAATTTGGGTATTGACAAAAGAGTCACTCGTTTTGTGCTCCCAGTCGGTGCCACCATCAACATGGATGGAACTGCTCTGTATGAGGCTGTGGCTGCCATTTTCATTGCCCAGATGAACGGTGTCAACCTTGACCCTGGTCAGATTATCACTGTCAGGTCAGAAAATATTTGCACTTAATATTTAACATCCTATCCTAGCTTACATATATATAAGAATGGGTTTTAGAAATGGAGTCCTCTAGAATGGCTGCATATGTGTGCAGTTCTTCCATTGAAGCTATTCTTAGTCACCAAAGTAAGACTTGCAGTTCCCACTGTTTAAATTGTTTAAACTGAGATAAATGCAGCTCCCACAGTTAGATCATTATAATAAAGACAAACTCAGCAGAAGTGTTGTGGCATTTAGTGGTGAGCTGAAAAGAAATTTAGAGTACAGCAAATTAAGCACCCAGAGGAAGCAGCCATATGCCCCAGTCCCTTGTCTCATGCTAAGTAGGAAGCTAAGCAAGAATTACCAGTCACTCGCTGTTTTCATCGTAACAATCTTTCCAAAATACTCTTATAATCCAATGATCTGCAGATAGATGACATTGGCTCTGACATTTTTATTGGATATAAATCCATGGACCTTCAAATTAAACATCCAATCTCTCTTTCATCTCTGTGAGCTTCTGTTCATAAAGATGAAGAACCTACTCTGGTGCGCCTCAGCTAACTGTGAGGTGCAGAGGATGTAATGTTCATTGGTGTTTGGGGAAGTGCATCAGGGTGTGAAGAATGAGGTTAGGCAAGTGGTTTTGGAGAATGTTATTGAGTGCTGCTTTCCCATATCTTCACGCAGTCTGACAGCCACCTTGGCCAGTGTCGGGGCCGCCAGTATTCCCAGTGCTGGCCTGGTGACTATGTTGCTGATCCTAACTGCTGTAGGCCTGCCAACCCAAGATATCAGTCTCCTGGTTGCTGTCGACTGGCTGCTGTGAGTTTGATAAAAGAAAAAATTATATTGTGGTTACACTGTACAAGGTAATTTTGCCTTTGCTTTTGTATTAGGGTTTTGCAGACCCTTTACTAGCATGCAAAGCCATCTTTCATGCTGATTTGTGTCTCATCAGTGATCGATTCAGGACCTCAGTGAACGTGGTGGGTGACTCCTACGGTGCAGGCATCGTGTACCACATGTCGAAGGCAGAGCTGGATGAGCTGGATGCGCACACGGCAAAGTCGGATGACATTGAAATGATGACAAAGACCCAGTCTTATTACGATGACATGAAGAACCACCACGAAAATAATTCCAACCAGTGCGTCTTAACCGCTACCGATACCACAACTGCTAGCGCCACTGCTAACAATTCTGTTGTAGTAGATGAATGCAAGGTACATTTAATGCTTACAAACATAGAGACCTGTATATAACCCTCTCTCGTGTTGCATGCTCACCCTGCACCTTGCTTGAATCTGTTTGAGTTTTAAGCATTGCGTCTTTGTTTAC